ATCATTTCTTTTCTTTCCTCCTTCGCCTATGTGTGTAGCCGTACGATTTTTTCTCAAATATCTGAACGTGTCCGTGCAAAGTGCATTTTCTTTCCTTCTCTCTGTTATCTACCATGTTTTTTCTCGTCAAGGTAGATCGTCGCTTTGTTTAAGGGAATCAATCCCCATTTTCTATCACTTGCGGGAGTGCATTTTCTTTCTTTGGCGTATTTTTTCACTTAAATCTAACTCGACCATGCTAGCCCAATTAGCATAAATCACTTATGTGGGTGAACTATAACGTGCATTTTTCTTAAATCATTATCTCTCTTCGGACATTCTACACCACGTGGCTAGAATCATAAGTATTGACATATTCTTGACATTTTTCTCTTATTCTCATTATATCTCACTGCGTTAACCGACGCCATATCGACGTCAGTTCGCATATTATTACTGTGCATTTATTAGGCTCGGTTTAGCAATGCATTTGTGAGATTTTCGAAATTGAGGTTTGGATCTCGTTACGCGCTCGCATTCAACCCCTTATTGCAAACGCGTAATGGCCATGTATCTATCTACCCATCTATCAGAATATGGCATTTCTTCTTGGATTAAAGAGAGAGAGAGAGAGAGAGGAGAGAGAGAGAGAGAGAGGAGAGAGAGAGAGAGAGGAAGAGAGAGAGAGAGGAGGAGGAGAGAGAGAGAGAGGAGAGAGAGAGAAATAGGAGGAAGAGAGAGAGAGAGATTAAGAAGTTCTTTTCGCTTGTCCTCCGTTCTGCGGCCTGGTGCGCGCCGAACTTACGAACAAAGCTGCTTTTACGACGAAAGGGAAATATTTCCACTGATCATTCCTCGCCATCGCTCTCGTGCAGCGGGGATGTGCGCGGACGCCAATAAATCGAGACACGCACACATGGAAAATCCCAGACACAAACACACACACACACAAGGCGTTTCATATTTCATGTATATATATTTTTTTTTCAATTATTTTTTTACTTTTTCTTTTCTTTTAATTACACACACACACACACACACACACACACACACACACACACACACACACACACACACACACACACACACACACACACACACATATATATATATATTTTTTTTCATTATATATTTTTTCTTTTTGATAATATACTTTTATTTATTTTTTAAAGCAACGAATGAATTCAAATTCCAGTGTTTTCTCGCCCTGTTTCCTCCTTTCAGTTGCACTGTTTCCTCCTCAGTTGCACTGTTGTTGCACTGTGTTGCACTGTTTCCTCACTGTTTCCTCCTTCAGTTGCAAGTTTGCACTGTTTCCTCCTTTTGTTGCACTGTTTCAGTTTGTTTCCTGTTGCACTGTTTCCTCCTTCAGTTGCACTGTTTCAGTTGCACTGTTTCCTCCTTCAGTTGCACTGTTTCCTCCCTTCAGTTGCACTGTTGTTGCACTGTTTCCTCCCTTCAGTTGCACTGTTTCCTCCTTCAGTTGCACTGTTTCCTCCTCCACTGTGCACTGTTTCCTCCTTTGCACTGTTTCCTCCTTCAGTTGCACTGTTTCCTCCTTCAGTTCACTGTTTCCTCCTTCAGTTGCACTGTTTCCTCCTTCAGTTGCACTGTTCACTGTTTCCTCCCTTCAGTTGCACTGTTTCCTCCTTCAGTTGCACTTTTCCTCCTTCAGTTTGCACTGTTTCCTCCTTCAGTTGCACTGTTTCCTCCCTTCAGTTGCACTGTTTCCTCCTTCAGTTGCACTGTTTCCTCAGTTGCACTGTTTCCTCAGTTGCACTGTTTCCTCAAGTTGCAAGCACTGTTTCCTCCCTTCAGTTGCACTGTTTCCTCCCTTCAGTTGCACTGTTTCCTCCCTTCAGTTGTTTCCTCCCTTCAGTTGCACTGTTTCCAAAGTTGCACTGTCCGTCTGCAACGAAAGGAAAGCAGGCGCCGACGGAGGCCCGGGGACCACAGGCCGTCGTCGCAGCGGAAGGCTGAGCGCCCCGCGCCGCTCCTCCAGCGCCTCCCGGCTCTCCTCCTCGGCCTCCACGTCGTCCTCAGCCTCGGCCTCCCGACTCTCCTCCTCGGCCTCGTCCTCAGCCTCGGCCTCCCGACTCTCCTCCTCGGCCTCCACGTCGTCCTCAGCCTCACGCCTCGTCCTCGGCCGACTCTCCTCCTCGGCCTCCACGTCGTCCTCAGCCTCGGCCTCGGTCTCGCCGAGACTCGCCAGCAGGCTGGACAGCAAGGCTTCGACCTCCTGCAGCGTGGGCCGCTTCTCGTGCTCGGGCTCGAAGGCCCTTGCGATGAGGTCGTCGAGGGCGAGGGACTCCTGCGTCATGGCCTCTTCGAGGAACTCCAGGATGTAGCCCAGTCCCTGCACGTCGCACTCCTTGCGCATGGGAGTGCCGTTGTAGAAGCAGTGGCAGTACCACGGCTTCGGATCCTGCGTCTTCCTGCGAGGATGCGAGCCGCCCACGGGGCACGCGAATCCATAGTCGATGACGTGAAGGGCGTGCAGCTGGCCGTCCTCGGTGAACTGGAGTGTCACGTTGTCGGGCTTGAGATCGCAGTGTATGACGTCGTGGAGATGAAGCTCCTGGAGGGCCTGGACCAGCCGAACTCCAATCTGGAGGAGTAATCTGTCGCCCAGGTCCTTCTGGCCCTCCAGGTTGTGGGAGCCGCAACACGTCATGAGGAGGGCGGGGGTCTCGGGGCAGAAGCCCAGGGGGATGGGGGCGCCGCCCGCACCCCCCAGCTTAGCCATGATGTTGGCCTCTTTCTCAAAGGCGGCGCCATGCCACGCTTGCAGACCCGTCTTAAGGGCGCACAGTTGGCCATCTGACCGCACCAGGCACACGCTGCCGTTGGATCCCTTCCCCAGCAGGCAGAGCTGGGCGTCGGCGAGCGCCTACACTTCCTCCCTCGAAAGTCGCTACACAGCCATTGCTCTTCTTTGCTCCGGTCTGATCAGCGAGATATCTCGAGTTCCTTGGAACGGATTGAAGGTTTGGGGGAAGTCCGGGGTTCCTTGCGTCTGGTGAAGAGCTTATGGCTACCTCGCTGTGTCTTGGGAGTTATGGTATAATATTCTGTCTCGTTCTCTCCCTTTCTCCCCTCCCGCCCTGTGAGTGCGGGTGTTTTGTGTGTGTGTGTGTGCGTGGGTGTGTCCGCGTGTGCGTCGTGTGTGCATGTGCGTGCGTGTGTCTGCGTGTATGTGTATGTGCGTATTTGCATGTTTTGTGTGCGGGTGTGTGTGTGTGTGTGTGTGTGTGTGTGTGTGTGTGTTGTGCCGTGTATGTATGTGCGCGTGGCGTGTCGCTGCGTGTATGTGTATGTGAGCGTGTTCGTGTTCGTGTGCGTGGTTGCGTGTGTGTCGTGTGCATGTGTGTGTTTTCGTATTTGCATGTGTGTGTGTGTGTGTGTGTGCGGGTGTGTGTGTGCGGGTGTGTGTGTGCGGGTGTGTGTGTGTGTGTGTGTGCATATGTGTGTGTGAGTGCATGCGTGTATGTGGTTTTGAGCATGTGCGTGTCCGCGTGTGCGTGTTTGCATATGTGTGTGTTTGTTTGCGTATTTGCATGTTTTTGTGTGCGGGTGTGTGTGTGGGTGTGCATATGTGTGTGTGTATGTGTTGGTGTGTGCGCGTGTATGTGTGTGCATGCGTTTCGGCGTGTGCGTGCGCGTGTGTGTCTTCGTGTATGTGTATGTGAGCGTGTTCGTGTGCGTGTGTGTGTGTGCGTGTGTGGCGTGTGCATGTGTGTGTTTTCGTATTTGCATGTGTGTGTGCGGGTGTGTGTGTGTGTGTGTGTGTGTGTGTGTGTGTGTGTGCGGGTGTGTGTGTGTGTGTGTGTGCATATGTGTGTGTGAGTGCATGCGTGTATGTGGTTGTGAGCATGTGCGTGTCCGCGTGTGTGCGTGTTTGCATATGTGTGTGTTTGTTTGCGTATTTGCATGTTTTTGTGTGCGGGTGTGTGTGGGTGTGCATATGTGTGTGTGTATGTGTTGGTGTGTGCGTGTATGTGTGTGCATGCGTTTCGGCGTGTGCGTGCGTGTGTGTGTCTGCGTGTATGTGTATGTGAGCGTGTTCGTGTGCGTGTGTGTGTGTGCGTGTGTGGCGTGTGCATGTGTGTGTTTTCGTATTTGCATGTGTGTGTGCGGGTGTGTGTGTGTGTGTGTTGTGTGTGTGTGTGTGTGTGCGGTGTGTGTGTGTGTGTGTGTGTGTGTGTGTGTGTGTGTGTGTGTGTGCATATGTGTGTGAGTGCATGCGTGTATGTGGTTGTGAGCATGTGCGTGTCCGCGTGTGTGCGTGTTTGCATATGTGTGTGTTTGTTTGCGTATTTGCATGTTTTTGTGTGCGGGTGTGTGTGGGTGTGCATATGTGTGTGTGTATGTGTTGGTGTGCGTGTATGTGTGCATGCGTTTCGGCCGTGTGTGTATGTGTTGGCGTGTGCGTGCGTTTGTGTGTCTGCGTGTATGTGGTTGTGAGCGAGTGCATGCGTGTGTATGTGTGTGCATGCGTTTCTGCGTGTGCGTGCGTGTGTGTGTGTGCGTGTGTGTCTGCGTGTATGTGGTTGTAAGCGAGTGGCGTGTGCGTGTGTGTGTATGTGTGTGTGAGGGCATGTCTGTCTGCGTGTATGTGGTTGTGAGCAAATGCGTGCGTGTGTTTGCGTGTGTGTGCATATATATGTGTGTGTGTGTTTGTGTATTTGCATGTGTCTATGTGTGCGGGCGGTGTGTGTGTGCGGGTGTGTGTGTGTGTATAAGTGCATGTGTGCACATATGCGAATGACGGTGCACCGCCCACTCTGTTGTATGACGTGTGTAATATGCATGAGCACAGAGCCAAGCCGCTGGAAACTATTTTTCGTTCAGTTCGGTTTATGAAAATCTCTCTCCTTATATATATATATATATTATATATATATATATATATATATATATATATATATATATATATATATCTATCTTTTCTATCTCAGTTGCTAACTTTTTCTCTGTCTATTTATCCGTGTATTTCTCTGCCTACCTATCTATGCCTATGG